CTGACCTCAAAATCCAAGTGATCACCTACTCCTATGACTCCATGCCTACACATCTCTTGAATGAATTTCTTTCTATATTTAAGCTACCAAATTAAGCTACTATAATTTGCTTACTAATTGAAAAGCTTGCTAGCTATATTCTCAATCTCTAGACATACTCTCTCCTAATTCATTCTCACTAGAGCCACTGTAGTCATCACCTTACTTAAAACCCTTCAGTGTTGATCCATTTCTGTCAAGAGAAAATCCAAGTTGTTATCAAGACTCACAAGCCCATACACTCCAGACTCACTTCTCCCTGCTCCATACTCCAACACTCAAGAGGTGTCGTAGAGAATCTACAGGGATTCTTAAAGAGTGAAAAAAGAATTCATAAAGGGAAAGAGAGAATTACAAAATTGAAAGCTGCTGGTCAAAAAAAAAACATTAACATTAGAAGCTAAGTGAAAACTGCAAAAGTAAAAATAAATATTTCTGATATATAAAGAAAAGAGCAACAAGAAATTCACAATATCAACCAATGGATAATTTACAAACTTCCTTAAGGTCCCATCCCTTTTGTCATCTTTAGGCTATTTACTCATTTCAGGAAAGACTTCCAATCATCCTTCAGGGCTCACAGGTTACATACCCTCCTGGAAGCATTCAGTGACACTATTGCAATCTGCCCTACCCCCACCTCCCCCAGCTGAGTTAAGGGCTCTACTGAGCATTCAAATAGCAAAAGGTACCTCTCCACATTACCAGACAAATTGCCTGTTTGTGTGGCTGAGTATTCTTCCTCCACCTCCCCGCCACTGCCACCATACACACACACACACACACACATTTTAAATCTTGAGGGCTGTAACCAAGACCATCTTCTCCACTGTTGTACTTCCAAAACTTATTATGTACCTGGTACATAATCAGCTTTAGCAGAGTATGTGTTGAACAAATGAGATTATTTACACATTTTTCTTCTAATTAAAACAATACATTAATTGTTACATGGAAACACTAATCTGTATGGATTTACTTTTATAATGATGGAATGAATCCCTTTCCTACTGATATATGATTCTTCCTTTGTCACATATAAAATTATTATATTCTAGAACATGCTTCATTGATGCCTGTTCTATTCCAGAAATCAGTCTTTAGTTTCTGGCAATAGAAACAAACTGTTTTAATTACTGCATTTTTTATAATACATTGTAATACCACCACAAGCACCCCTTATTAATTTCCTTCGGAGAAATTCTATCAGCTATTCTCACTCATTCATTTCTATCAGATAAACTTTCAAATTATTTTCTCTGGTTCCAAAATAAATATTCTATTGGAACTGCTGACTGAAATTTCATGAATCCTACAAAATGGTTTGGGAAGAGGTGACATTTGTGATATTCAATCTGTCCCATCCGGGAACAATACCCAAGAAACCTTTCACTCAAGAAAATCTTTGTCTTATAGTAAATTTTTGATTTCCTTAGTCTGGGTGCCACATTTTTCTCATAGAAAATTTTTGTTAGTATTTTACATTTCTTTGTGCTATTTTGAAAGAAAAAATAATAATGCATATGTCATATTGTATCACTGTACAAATATATGTGTATATATATATATGTATATACACATACACATACATACATCTATTTATTTAAGTAAGAATCTTAAATTTTCTTTTTATCTGCTCATGCTGTGATATAAAAATGATCATACAAGTTACCCTTGGTCAAAGTGGGGTCATGATTAAATCCAAGTCTATCTGGATTTCAGAGTCCTGTGCTGTGATTTTTTCTATAGGAATTCCTTTAAAACTTTGGCCTAATGACAAGAGAGAAAATACAGGGACTAGTGGAAGAGGGCACAGTGTGGGGGACAGTTTTCTCCAAAACCTTTTAACTAAAATTAGCTCTTGGTGCAGATGTAGCATGCTTATCCAACAGCTCCTGTGCATTTTCTGGAATACTGCCGCAGTCTCCTGGGCTGTGTGTATTCTTGTTTGAAAAGTGTGGTCCATAGTTCACTACTTTCTCCAAGGAGGTACCATCTAAAGGAGACTTAATCACATTTTAGGCCAGGGAAGCTTGGGTCTGGAACACAGAATAAATTATTTAGATGCTTAAAGCTCTCAAGTATACAATTACAGTGAATATTCAGGACTAATGGTTCCCAAGTCCAGAAGTAAACCAGTTGTCATTTAATGGATAGCTATAAAATATACTCTTCAATTAATAATTACAATAAAAGGATGAATCATATAATTAAAATGTTTAGCAACTAACATAACATGCAAAGCTAATGAGTATAGCTGTTACTTGACAAAGCATCCATTTGAAGAAGGGTTTTTCCCAAATTCTAAAATCACATGGAGTTTTACAACTAGAAACACTCAAGAAATATGTTTGATAAAGACTTTGATTAAAAAGTGAACTCTGAGTAACTGCAGACAGGTACACAACAACTAATACACCATCCCCTTATTTCAAAGTTTTTCCACAACAGAAAAGGGGAAATGATCAACAAATGGCCTAGAAGAGAATAATGTCAGAAGATAAGTGGTGTGAGATTAACAAAGATTTCCCTTGGCCTCTGGCCAGGATTTTGTCACTTCCTTCTTGAAAAGAATGTTTTCATTTCATACCTGAATCATAGGGACACTGTTTACTTACACTTACTGCTTAGTGAATGAGATGTGGTTCTCTCTACAGTATGCATTCAGTCATTCAAAAAGTATCTTCTGTTTTGTTTACAAAGATTCCGGGAAAATGAATCTCTCAAGTATTTCAGTCAAAATATGGTGGTTAGAGATGCCAGCCAGCCAAATGGCACCTAGAGAATGGTAGCTAAGGTGAGGGTGACCATGGCGGGTGTACCACCGCCTATACACTCACACCACGTCACCTTCCTACAGAAGGGGTGGCTGAAACTAAACCTCAGGAATATAATAAACAGCAAGCCTGACCCACAAACCACAAATTAACAATGTATCTTATTACATCTGAGTCACACCATACACACTGTAATAACATTTTCAAGTATTATTGGATAAGGACATTCTTATTTTCATATCATTTATAGTTCTTTTTAAAAGCCAGAGGGAAGCTCATTTACTGATAATACATATTTTATGTGAAAGAAATATGAAAAATTATTAAGAAAATTCAGTAAGACAAAAGTCAGGTGGTCCAGCTTCTCATTCTGGTTCTGTTAACTATGATCCTGGCAACTTGCTTAACGTGTACGTAAATGTTTTACTGTCCTCATCTAGAAATTATAGGTTAGACTAGATGAGCCTATGTTGCATTGCAACTGAAAATTTATGTCAATTGAATCTAAGATTTACATGAAGCTAAAATTTTAATAAAAATCCTGGCCTGTTTATCTGCATTCTCTGTCTAACCTGACATTTAGAATCAATCCAATGTTTAACTAAAATTTCTACTGATGTCATATCTCAGTTTTCTCAAATTTATTTTTCCAATGCTTTAAAGACTAGAGCACAGCAAATACCAGAAAGACCACATCGGCATTTTAAACTGTGAAGTAAAAGCCAGTTTTAGATTTGACCACATTTCATGTAAAGTAAAATTATAAATCCACAAATGTTATACTTTAGCTTTCTGATTACTATAAATGTTTGAAAGCCAAGTTAAAAAATTCTCCAGTAAAACTTTGGGAACTGAAATATTACCTCCCTCTGAGATGGCAAAAGACCTGCAGTGGGAAGCAATTTAAACTCTAGAACTTAAACCGGAGCCAGGTATGCTGTGAACAACGCCCCTCGGGAGAAGAAGAATTTGCTATTAGTTGCAAACAGTAAGGGGCCCTGCATTTGATTCCCACTGTGTACCATGAATGGAAATGTGGAGGAAAAAAACATCAGTCTAACAACTCAGCTTAATTATAAAGGAAAGCCTGGCTAAAATAACTTTTCTATCTTATCCAGGGGTTTTCAGAACTGCTTCTTCAGGACTAGGATATGAATAAAGGTTGAAAATTGCTCCATA